CTAAGAGCGGGGCTGTCAGGAGAGCCCTGAACTGAGGGGGCAGGAGTGAGGAGTCAGGCCAGAAGGAGCAAGAAGCCCTGGAGCTGGACATAGCCCTGGGGGCGCTCAGCCTCAGGCAGGGAGGGGTCCTGTGCACAGGAACAGCCTGGCGGGAAGCGTGGGGAGGGGCCTGAATGGAAATAAGGCCCTGCCAGCAGGGTGCAGGTCCACCCAGGTGAGCGGAGGAGGGATCTGGGGCGGGGACCCTGCTTCCAACATTGCAAGGGGCTCGCCTCTGGTGCCTCATGAAAGGAGTTTAGGCTGTACGCGGACATCCTTCTATTTGGCAGTTTCGTACGTGTGACGGCATGGTGCGGGAGTGGGTGACTGGATCCTTCACTCTTACTCTATATCCTCTGAGTTTCTGTACGTGGCAGCACCATTAGGGGCACTGGGGTTCAGGATGAGCAGCCAGCCGGCCCTGCCCCCAGGCAGCCTTCATTCTAGCGCAGGGAGCCAGGTCAGTATCCACTTATTCTTATTCTACTTACATCTGACAAGTCTGCCTCTTTATTTAAACAAACCTCACTTTTTTAGCTCTTGCACCAGAAAAGTCACATCCCCAGGGGTGACACACTTCAGCGTTTACGTGAAAGGGAATTACATCCTGTGTAATTCCAATCTCCTCAGCCACGGCTGTTTCTTTAGCGTCGTGGGGTATTTTTAAGCATCAAAAGGGAAAAGAAGGAGGAAATCCGAAGAGACCACCCCCCAAGGCTGAAATCCTGTTAAACCTCAAACAAAACCCAACCCAACAGGGCCTGATGGCACGAGCAGGGCCTGACGGCACGAGCTCGCAGACAGGAGAGGCCGCGGTCCCAGCCGCGAGGTCCTGCGGGCTCCTTCGAGAGCCAGTCCCTCCATCTGGATGACAGGAGGGGAGGGAGTCCTGGTGTCCAGGGATTCTGGTCAGGCTACTTGGAACGGAAGGGACCACGCTTTGATCTTTGGGTTTTGTTCTTATTTTAAGGCTCCTGACATAATGAAATTTATTAGTTTTTTTTAGTAGTCCTAGCCCTTTTGAAAGGGCGGGACAGAAATGATTACCTAAGGTTTGTAGGAGAGCTGGAAATTGGGCTTGGAACTGTTTTGTTCTCTGCTGTTTAAAGGGAGCACCCTGAGCGATCAGGGTTTGCCTTCGTGGGGTGGGGGAGGGGAGGGGCCATCCTCCCTAAAATCCTTGGATCTTAATCAATGCGGGACGCAGATCTCATACAGAGCAGAGCTCCTGTCTGAAGCACTTTTCTGCAGGCCATTGCAACATCCAGAGGGTAATTGCTGTGAAATTCTCAAAAATAACCCAAAGATACCAAAACCCCAAAGCTGGAGGCAGCCCAAATGTCCTCTAGCCGGGGCATGGATAAACACACCATGCCGTGGAATACTACCGGGCTGTGAAAAGGAAGGAACTATTGGTGCATACAGCAATTTGGGTGGGTCTCGAAGACAGTATGCTGGTGACGGAGCCAGGCCCCAGAGGTTACATCCTTTATGATGATCCTATTCATCACCCTCATGGGGACAAAGTGATAGTGATGGAAAACAGATCGATACTTGCCAGGGGTTTATTAAAAGGACAGCACAGGGGAGTTCGGGGGTGACGGGACTATTCTGGATCCTGATTGTGGCGGTGGCATGAATCTCCACCTGTGTTAAAATTCATAGAAATGCACACATAGAAAAAAAATACCAATCTTACTGGATGACAACTTTTTTAAATTATAGAAAGAAATCTCTAGGAGTGAATCTGAATTCACATTGTGTAGAACTCCTGCGTCCGGCCCCGTACGCTGTGCACGCAGCGCTCTCTTTGCGCCCCTAGTGCAGCCCACCGGTCGGCGGCTTCCTGCCGTCTGTGGGCCTTGTTCTCCAGGCGGCACTCACTCCACCTCCGATCCCTTCGATCCCTTCTCCTCGCTGTTCCTTCCTCTGGAAAGCTCTGCCCTCAGGTGGTCCTGGTCCGCCTGGGACTTTCAGCGCTAAAAACGTCCCCAACAAGCTGGAACAAACTGGTCACCCTCTGCCAGATTTACACACTCGCTTCATTCAGATCTCCACTCCGATGTCCTCCACCATCATCTAAAATGACACCCCTCGCATCCCCCTCGCTCTTTCGTGCCCCACTTTATTTCCCTCCATATTACTCCTCATGTCATTAGGCAGCATGCCTATTTTCCTTTGCTTATTACACACCCGTCCAGTGGAACGTGTTATGGTCATCAAGTCAAACCATAAAGCAAGCTGCAGAAAGCTGCATGCCGTTCACGCACACAAACTGTAGGGTGCAAGGTTGACAGGCGCGTAGATGTGGTAAGTCACAAAGCTCCTCCCGGTGTGGTAAACACGGAGTGGAGCCCTGAGGGCAGTGAGAGAAGGGGCTGGGGTGGGGATGGGACCCAGGGGGCCTTAGTCAAGCCGTACGTTCAATTTTAGAAGAAAAACCTCTGCAGCAGACACGGTAGGATAAGGTTTCACAGAGCCGCCTGATGCGACCACAGGCATTCACGATACTCTTCTGTATATTCTTCTGCAGGCTTGAAATATTTCATGATAAAAAAACGCAAGACTAGAGACCTGCGGCTGAAGGAAAAGTGATTGCTCTGTTTGGGATACCTCCAGAGCAACAGAACTTTCTAGAAGATGACTGTCAGCTCTTCATGTTCCTCACAAGTCACATCTGAGATGTTTTTTGAGCTCTTGCCTCAGGAAGGGGAGACAGCAGGATGCACAAAATCAGGTCCCGCCTTCAAGGAGCTCTCGGTCCAGCAAAGGCACGAAAAGAGAAAGCGGAATAGATGATTTGCATTCAAGGCATTGCTAGGTGATCGCTGAGCACATGTGCTGGGATTTGGTGCCCACTTCATTTGGTAAAGCAAAGCAGAAAACAACACTAAGGGTTTCTAGGAACCAGAACCAGTCCTGGGAGAATTTCCCATTTCTCTGGATTTGTGGATGAGAGGAGCTCTCAGTCCTGGTGTGAAGAGGGATGTGCTTGCGTGGAGGGAGAAGAAGTGGCAGTGGTTTTGTTACCTAAGATTGAAACTGCCCAATGCCAAGACACCCAGGCCAGGAGAGGTGGGCACATTTCCAGGACAGCTCCCCGTCACCCGGACACCTGACTTCACCTTGCTGGGTCCAGAGCAGAGAGCAGGCAGCGTCCAGGTGACTGTGGGGGCTCTGCTGGTGCCAATCAGCTCAAATGACCCCATGAGATGGGGGTTCTCATGGGCTGCAGGGAAAAACACTCACTGGGAGGGCGATGGACTGACCCCGTCCTTTTTCAGCTCAGTCCTTGGAGGGGCCCCTTCTTCCTCTGCCTGGGAACCTCTGACGTGCAGAAAGCGCTCAGGACCCTCCGTTAAGCCAGGCCGTGGAAGCCTCTGCAGCGTTCCAGCCCAGCCCTGAGGGTCCTCTTTCCTGCCCTGACCTCCTCCTCCCACCTGCTCCGTCCACACGCTGACAACTCGCCCTCTGACGCCGAGTCCCTAAGCCACCAATTTCCTGTACGTTCTTAAAGTGATTAAACACAGGATCCAGGGGCAGCAGTTGTCTCTGTTGTGGATCCGTACAGGAAAGAAACAGGTGAAGAAAAGAAAAATAAAATCCTGTGACACTGGATTGAATCAGCCCCACCCAGCGAAGCGAAGGCCGGGGGTCTGGCTGGATGCTTTGAAACGATGATTACAGCTCTGGTTCCTGGAGGGTCTCAAGGGCTGGCTGGCCCTGGGGAGTCAGGGAGGGGACTGCGGATGCTTGGGGCAGTAATGACGGCAGCCAGCATTTCTTGAGCACTTACGGCATGCGAGGCACAGCTCGAGGCACGGGTGTCAGCTCAGTTAATCCTCACAACAAGTGTCATTTCACGGAGGAGGAGAGTGCGGCCAGCAAAACCCACTGTGAGAAGGCCGTTGACCTCCAGCAAAAGCATCACCAGTGTGATCTGTGGAGCTGCTTGCACTGACCCGGAGTGACTGGATTTCAGCTCTTTGTAATCGCAGATGTGGAGGGACAGGGCAGCATGGAATCCCGACACCGTCACTTCAGCACTTGATCATCTGCCCTGTCCAGCGCCAAATGGGGAGGCCCCACAGAAACACCGCCACCAAATCCTGGTTCCGTCTCTCACGAGCTGTGTGATGAGCAAAACACCTCAGCCCTTGGGCCTTAATTCCCTTATCCCATGTGTGCATGCACATGTGTGTGTGCATGGCTCACAGGCATGCACGCCTGTATGTGTGCATGTGCACGTGTGTGTGTTTGTGTGCACACATGTGGCGTGTGTGCAGCAGTTACAAGCAGGGTCTCTGGGTTCAGACGGCCTGGACTTGAACCCTGGCTCAGCCGCCCCCAGCCAGCAGCCTCGGGAAAATTACTTAAACTCTCGGTGCCTCAGTTTCCTCCCCTGTCACAGGGTGACAGTCCGCCCCCACCTCAGAGGGCGAATGTGAGGATTAGATGAGTCAGTCTGTGTGAAGCTCTTAGAAGGGGGCCCTGCACAGGGTGGGTGCTGGACAAATGTCACTATTACTGTCATTTGTTGTCACCACGTCTCTGCTGTGCTCCCAGCGCTGCAGGGCCCTGGGGCGAGTGCACCGGGACCTCCCTCTCCCCACAGCAGTTCCCATCATCAGCAGAGGGGAGGGGCATCCTGGCCCCACTGGTAACTAGCCTGGTGACCTGGGGCCACGTGCTTCACCTCCCTGTGCCTCAGTTTCCTCCTCTGGAAAATGGGGCAATAATTGCACTTCCCCATGGGGCTGTTGGGAGGACACACTGAAAGTGCCTGGAGCAGGGCCAGTCAGCACCGTGCATCATTAGCTGCCATTATTATTACTATTATTAATGGTCCTATTCAGATTCATTCTCCAGGAGGATTGGTCAAGAAGCTAAGCTTGTCCTGCCTCGGCCCCTTTGCCCTCGCAGTCCCCTGAACTGGGAACGCCCCTCCTCCAGATCAGACCTTTACCAGAGGGGCGGCTTCCACTCCCTCCCGGACAGCCCTCTCCAACAGAGCCCCTCACTCACCCCCCTTACTCTCTATATTGTTGTCATATGTTCCCTTTTGAACGTTCTACGTGGCTTTGGTTGGGTTTCCCAGAAGCGGACCCCCCCCCCCCCGCCCCCCGACAAGGATTTTAGTGCAAGCAGTTTATGTGGGAGGTGGTCCTGGGAAGCACACTCGGGGAGGGGAGGGAGACAGGGCATCCCCAGCCTGGGCAACTGGAACTAAGTCTGGAACATTCCTCCTCTGATTCCTGTGTGCCGCCGGCTGAGGGTTCCAGGGTCGTCAACGGTCAGCACTTCTGGCCACAGGCCAGAGGAAGCTCTAGGGTGGATGGTCTCAGTTCGCCCACGGCAGTGGGACCACGCCTGTTCTCTCACACCAGCTTCTAGGACGTTGCTTCACGCATAGGAGACATTCCATGAATGTTTGTGAAAGGAAGCAAGGGAGGAAGGAGTCTCCTTGTCCCTTCAACACCTGGGGGCCTTTCCTCCGCCCAGTCCTCTCTCAAGGGCGGGCTCTGAGTTGAGTCTAGAAGACTCTTGAGGCATCACCACCTAGACCCTGAGGTTGACTGCTCCAACTTCGACTCAGCCACCACCTCTTGCTTTGAGGGAAAGAGGTGAAAAGCTTGGGGGCCCACAGGGCTGTGTTTACATGACGTAGGCTGCTCCAGCCCCAGAAGATAGGGGAAACTGGGGTAATTGGGGGACGGTCCAGAGCGGCCTTCTAGTGTGGTAAGAGAAGGGGCTATGGGTCACAGTGTCTACCTTTGTGGCCAGTTGCCCAGAGAGTTCAGTGGACATTTGTTCTTCCTTTTAGCCACTCACCAATGGGTGGTTCCAGTGGAAGGAGCTATAGTCAGTTTCCGTAGGGGGCAATTGCAGTGTTCTGGGGGCATCTTCAGTGTGTCCTGTGCTTTTTACAGTGTGAGCTGGGGTGTCCAGTGGAGGCACCAGAGATGTCACCGAGGGACTAGTTCTATGGTGTGATTTTGGGGCCATGTTACTGGCTGTGTGACTTCCGAGTCTGACAGATGGGCCTGAGCTACCCGACAGGCTTTCACACTTCCAGTCTCTAATCTCACTGGCAGGACTAAATTCTGCTGCTTGCAACCAAGAGCCCTGACCCACACACGGCACAAGCGTATGAAGCTTTTACCAAGACAGGAGCGAGAAATAGTGAGGAGTGTGTGCGTGGGCTCTGGATTTGACTGGAAGGCTGGGCCAGCAGATGGGGAGGAGAGGAGAGGAGACAGGCCAACAAGCACAGGCTGCCTCCAGCTGATCACGACTTCATCCGTTTATTCATTCAACAAACAACTACTGAGCGCCTACTCTTCCATGTGCAATTCTTGGAGCAGGCTATTCAGCGATGTCCAAGGCAGATTAAGACCCCTGCCTTCATCCTGTTCTGTTCATCCAACTTCTCTTCTCATGGGGGAGACAGCAAGAGACAGGCAAACGATGAATAACTGAGATGCTTTCAGATTTCATTAAGTGCTATGAAGAAAATAGGAGAAAATAAAGCTGGGTGATGGGATGGAGAATGATGGTACTGGGTGGCTCTGGAAGGCTTCTTGGAGGAGGTGACCTTTGAGCTGTGATCTGAAGGACGAGAAGCAACCATCTTGGTTAAATGTCCTAGGCAGAAGGAACAGAGCAAGCAGAAGCCCTGAGGCAAAGTTGAGCCTGTTTAAGGAGCAGCGAGGAGCCAATCATGCACAGATGGCCTCGTGGGCCAGTCGGGAGAGCGGGTTTCACTTTAAGAGCGTGGAGGAACCTTCGGAGGGTCTTAAGCCAGGGAACGACATGATCTGATTTTCCTTTGACAAGCGTGGCTGCTGTGTGCAGGACGGCTCACAAGGTGTTGGCGGCTGATGTGATCAATGAGGGCTATTCGGGTGTCTGGGGTGAGGACGATGGTGGCTTGGGTACAAGTGGGTAGAGAAGAGAGAAATGAGTGGATTCAGAATCTACTTAGGAGGCAGAGCTGTCAGGAAATACGGATGACTGGGTGTGGGGGGGTGTAAGAAACAGAGGTGTCAGATTTAACCAGGTGGACCGAGATCACCATCAGAGGAAGAATGCACTGTCACCATGAGCACTTTACAATTCAGACAGCCCTGCCACGTCCATTGTTCTCATTTAATCCTAGAAAGCGTGCATGGAAGATGTTTTAAAGGCCACCTAGTCCAACTGCTGAACTGGCCAGATGAGGGAACGGGGGCTCAGAGAGGGAAGTGACTCACCCAAGGTCACCCAGAGAGGTAATTGCAGACCTCGGCCAGAATCCACGTCTCCTGGTTTCCAAACAGGTGCACTTTTCCTTATGGAATTGGCCAGGAAGACTTTCTCCGTGTGGGCTTCTTTCTCTTCCTGCACAGTGGGGTTCTGTCATCCGCCTTAGGGACCATGCTGGGGGTACTCTTGGGACCACCTCCCCCTGCCCACGTGCTCTCCTTGTAAAAACCGCCTCAGAGGCCTCCCTCACCGAGAATCCTGTCCTGTCCTGCCCCAGGCAGAATTCGTCACTCCATTGTCTCCAACTTAAACGCACATCCTTCCACCCAGCAAATCCTATTTTGAGGAATGTATCCCCAAGAAACAACAGCTCCCCAGAATAAGGAGGCACATTCAGAGATACTCACATAGTGCTGATCGCAGATAGTTGACTACAGTTGATCACAGAATCCGGAAACAGCCTGGTTAAAGCTGTCAAATAAAAATGGCAAGTAATAGGATATATTGGGGGGCTCGCCCCGTGGCCGAGTGGTTAAGTTCGCGCGCTCCGCTGCAGGCGGCCCAGTGTTTCGTTGGTTCGAATCCTGGGCGCGGACATGGCACTGCTCGTCAGACCACGCTGAGGCAGCGTCCCACATGCCACAACTAGAAGAACCCACAACGAAGAATACACAACTATGTACCGGGGGCTTTGGGGAGAAAAAGGAAAAAATAAAATCTTAAAAAAAAAAAAAAAAAAGGATATATTGGAATATATGAGGAAGCCATTTTGGTGTAAACCTAATTCGGCCTGACCTTGTCTTTCCAAAAGGGCCTGACCGAGGCCGTTGAGCATGCATTGTATATCTGCTTTAGAGATTCCCTATGGCAAGACCAAAAGGCCCTTGAGATAAAGGCGCAACTTCCCTCCCCCTCCCAATGTTGATGTCTCCTTAAGGATTAAGTATCTTTCCTTAGGCTAGAAACTAATTGCTGCGCTCACCTGTGACCGCCCAGCTTGAGACAATAGACTTGCCTCCTGCTACACCACCAAGATAGCAGACCCACTACCTGCTGTGTCCATCAAGTGCTGTGCCGACAGGGCAATCTTGTGACTATTGTGGGAGGGACATTTCAATCATATGTAAAGCACCCTCTTTGGGGGTATATAACCATTCTGTCCACCTCATTTCTTTGGTGCCCTTTCTTCCTTCGGGAAGGAAGGCCCCAGGCCATGGTCCTCAGATTTTAGCTCAGAATAAACTCACCCAAATTTTCATTTACAGATTGGTTATGGATTATTTTCGTCGACAAAGCATAGCAGATTCACGCTGTGGGAAGTTAGACAGCTATTTCAAGATGGTGAGTTGGACCCCAGGTATCGATCCAGAGAAGGTCCATAATATATCGAGGATTGAGAAGGCACAGTGCAGAGTAATTTATGTAGTCAAATTGTACTTTAGGGAAAGAAATGCCAAATCCTCACAAAGAGAGGTCAGAAAATCCTTGTCAGTGTGTCTGTCTGTCTATGAGTCTGTGCGTGTGCAGAAAGTCGTGGAAGGAGGCACACTTGGCCGTTCGCTTTGGGAGTGGGGGGGATGGGAAAGGAGACAGGGAGTCGGGGGTGAACACGGGAGCCGACTTGGACAGGAGAGGGGTGTAGCGGAATATTGGGAGAAAACGTAGGCAGTCGAGTCTGCCTGGGTGTGAAAACTGAGCACGTTCACAGGAGGGCGCTGAGGTGGTGCGGTGTGGCTGGTTTGGCCATTTTTATTTTGACTTATGCAGTTATCTTGATAAAGTTTTGGTAATAAAGATAATAAGTGAACAGACTGATAAATAAATCAAAAGAGGCCCCTTGGTAGAGACCCTCAAGATCCACCCAGAAGGCACAATTGGTTTTGAGGGATTTCCCAACTCAGAAGGACAGAAGGGAGCTTTCCAGGCCCCTGGAGAGCTGGGAATGAAGGTGCTGGAGCCCTCAAACCCCAGGAGGCCGCTACCCTGTAGGGACAGGGTTTGAGGACTCTGCCCTTCTTTGCCTGGGGTTGGGGAGGGATGGGGAGGCCTGAGGTTGCTGAGGGGTCCTCGGGTTGCCTGCCTCCTCCTGGGCAGCGTGGACAGCTAGCCAGGAAAAGGCCACACACAAGAGGAACTTCAGATGGGTTCAACAGGAGGTTTCAGCCTCTGTGACATGGGTGCGCTCACCCATGGGGCACTAGCTATCAACAGGGGTGTTGCTCCCTATAAGGTGACATTGGTGGCGCAACGATGAGCTGTGTGTTTTGGGGTTCAGTGGGTGGGCGCTGAGGATACCCGATGACGACGAAACCCAGGACAGTCCCAAAGCCTGCAGAACTGTCTTGCATCTTGCCTCAGTTTCAAATGTCCCACTGGACGTTCATGTGAGTAAGCCCTATTTACAGTGCTCTGAGCCCCACACAGAAAGTCTGTTTTACCCGGAAACAATACTAAAGTGTTTTACACTGTTTAAATATTCACTGAGTTTCCTGGGATGGCAACTAGGGTGTAAATCAAGGGAGGCTTGTCCTTGTTTTGTTGGGAAAGTTTGCCGATGACGGGGTACCACTGTGGACCGTCACGTCACTGGCACCCACGTGTCTCACAGCATTGGAGATGCCAGCTCAACACGCTTGATCCCAGCCTGCATTTACAGCTGAAGCAGTTCTGTGCGGGCATGCCAGAGTATTTGCATGTTGAAATATGCATTATTTTATTGCAAATTACTATGCATAAATTACTTTTTAAAAAATAATTCTCTTCATATTCTACTTAGGGCATTAAATTGAATTTTAAAAAACATATAAGCAGGTTTGGTTATCGATACCTACTGCGGAATTTCATGTCAAGGTAGTAAAGTGGAAATTAGAAAATTGTTAAAAAAAGGTGACATTGGGTCTGATAGAGTTGACAACACATTTTAAAAATCAGCAACATCTTCTCTTTCCCCAGGGAAACTGCAGCCTCATTGAGAGACAGCTTTTGAGCTTTTTGTTAAATTGAGCTAGATTTTTTACCACAAAAGAGGATCTTTTCTTTCCTTCTTATCCAACAAGCCGTCCTTTGCCAAGATCCCCTTCATGTGCCTGCTGGAGACCAAAGTAATTCTCATCCTTGTGTCCCCAGGCCCCATAAATTCTCCTCGAATGGTCTCTCCCAGTACAAGTACGGCTGTCTGGCTCCAGTTGGCTGCAGACACAGCTGAGGCTTCTGCCAAATTTAGGCTACTGTCCGGTGGGCAAATAATTTGTCCCTCTATAGCAGCCAGATCAATAATCAACAAACAAACACATTAAAAAAAAAAGCCCAGAAAGCTTAGTCATGCAAATCAGGGCAGAGGAGAATGGGGAAAGAAAGCAGCTCATTCGTATTCTGCAACTTCAGCGGGGCCCTGGCCCATCAGCTGGTTTCTATGAAACCCTCGGCCCAGAACAGCAGCCCCCCCCACCCCCCAGCCTGATGCACATTAATAAAGGTTTGTCCCAACCGGAGTAAACACCACCCGTTCCCAGGACACCCAGAAGCAGAAATTAACCAGAGGTTAACTGGGTCATTAGCTGCCGCACAATAGGGGTCAATCTAGATGTAATCAGGTTCCCTTCAGCTGGAGGCTCCGATCTGGCCACCGGTTCTCACCGCAGGGACAGTGACTGAGCAGCGAATTGAGGTCTCTTGGATACCAGGAGTGTCATTATGATGCGCAGAGCCTCTGACATCACTGGGTGTTTTTGTGATGCAAAGTAACATGTTGTCTAAACACACACCAGGGGACCGGTGACTCTGTGTGTCATCGTTATGGGCATGCCCACAGATGGGACACGCAGATGCACGCGACTGAATGAGGAACTGGGTAAAGTGCCTTCGATCCTGTAAGCTGTGGTCGTGTCACTTTCCCCAAGGGTGTCTTATTACGAACAGTGTTCTTTAACCGTGTGAATAACTGGGACATTAAGGGATGAAGTCAGACACATCCCAGCGTCATCATCATGCATCACGCATATGTTCTGCCTTTACACCTTATTTGGAAGCATAAAAACCAAACAGCAAAGGAGGCTCGAACAGCCTGATTTCACGTGGGCAGAACCAGAAGGGAATCGCAGGGCAGGCAGCCCGTCGTCAGCGTCCTCTCTGCTGGTGCAGGGAAGCCGTCACAGCTGCCACCTGGGTCAGGAGACTCGGAAGCAGGCGTTCGCTGTGACTGTCACGCTTCCTGCTCCTCACTCTGAGGGGCCCAAAGCAGATGGCGGAGGCCTGAAGAGGAAAGAGCCAGCCTGGGCCGAGGCCGCCCGGCTCAGCCAGCCCTGGACTTCCCACCGGACATCAGGGCCTTGTCTGCCCCGCCCCCACTCCCTCCCCACCCACGCAGCAAGCCCTTCCCGCCCCAAGTGGGGGTGTTCTCTGCCCCGAATAGATGAAGACTCAGAGATGTTTCCAGATGTGCAGGCCCCGGGGTCGAGTGGGGACCTGTCCACCCCTCCCCCTCCTTCTCCTGGACTCACTGACCTTCCTTCTGTGCCACAAACGTGCCAGGTTCATCCCGACCCGGCCTTTGTCCGGCCGTGCGTCCTCCTGGGATGCTGTCCCAGCTCTTTCACGGCTGCCGCTTCTCACCTTCCAGGGCTCTGCCAAGTGTCACTCCTCGGCGAGCCCCTCCTGACCACCCTGTCCACAGAAGCCCCCGCCCCACAGTGTGAGCTCCAAGGAGGCAGGGACCTGCCTGTGCCTCAGTTTCCTCCTCTGTGAAAGGAGGCTGAGACCAGAATACTGGCCTCTCACGACTGTTGGGAGGGTTAGGGACGGAGGAGACAGACATCAAAGCTCTTTGCACCCAGAGAGCCGTGGACAGGAGGGACTGCGTCACAGTTGCTGCGCCCACCTGGGCAGAAGTCGGGGCAGCGGCCGAGGACACAGGATGGCACGTGGAAGTGCGTGTATGTGTGCGTGTGTTGAACATTGGTTAACATTGACCACTTCCTCCCTATGAACGTTGATTAATGCTTATTACACGCCAGGCTCTGTCCTAAAGGTTTCACATGAATTCGCTCACTTAATTCTCACAGCCACACCTACCTGTGATTGTTACCATTCCCGGTATACAGATAAGGAAACTGAGGCCCAGGGAGGCTAGGGGACCTTCCTGTGGTCACACACAGCAGTGGAGCTGGGCGGATTCCAGCTAGTACAGAGAGCTGGCCTCTGCGCAGCACGGACCCAAGCCGGAAGCAGACATGGAAGCGGCTGGACCCTCCGCAGGGCAAAGTTGGTTTTAATCTCCCTAGAGCTTGGCCAGGCCTCGGTGGTCCTGTGCTGAGATAAAGTATCTCACTAAATGTTTCTTAGCAGAAACGTCTGGCTGTCCCTCAAGGTCCCTTCTCCCTTCTTTTGTGTGATGGAACCTCAGATTCTCACCTGGACACAGGACTGCCCAGAATAAAGTCTACCTTTGTCCCCGTCCTCAGCCTGGGGTGGCGTGTGACCGAGCTCTGGCCAATGGGATGGAAGAGAAGTGATGGGCCTGAGTCCCAGGCTGCGCCCTTCGAGGGGAGCATCTTCTCCCTCTT